ACTGAGGTGATGATGCAGGGGTGCATTGGGGAAGGAAACTCTATGGGGACTACACCTGAGGGGGTGGGGGGAAGCAAATATTGTTTAAAAATGAACAATGATGTAAAAATATAAAAAAAAATAAAAAACAATAAAAAATTTAAAAAATCTATATTATGGAAGATTAAGAAAAAAGATGTCTTCTGTAAGCATCTTTCCAGATAGAATGATCAGTTATGTAGCAGCATGATGGCCTGCTTACTCTTTTTCAGGATTCGTAGTAAGGTCAGGCCAAGTTCTTCCTTCTGAGCATGAACCTAGAAGCTGATGGACAGGCAATCTTACAGTGATTTGGGAAAAACCCAAATTCTGTCTGGGTAGTTAGTGAAAACTATCATCTAAGAAGGCAGTAACTTAAGCAGTGATGAATTTTAGTGGGGACACATCAAGTTTGTATGGGAAGAAACTAGCAGGGCTTCTCAGTGCTAAGTGTTCTGGCCCCTCCAGAGAGGAGGAGTTTCTGTAGCAGGGCAAGCAGAGTTCATTCGACGGTGCTGTGGTGTGGATGAAATATCCCAGGAGACTATCTGATTACTTTTGCTCAGTTGCTGTGCACATCAAAGAAACTTCTGATAACTAATCCAATTCCTTGGGGCCCTTGAAGTAGAAGTAGGGACATGTGATGGGCCAAGGGACCAGAATCACCAGGACGTCTGGTTCCTGGAATAAGAGATCATATGGTTCTGGGTGCCTGAGCACTTACTCATGGCCTCCGCAGTTACTGGATTGGGGCCTCAACAAAGTCATTTAAAACTTACTACAAACCTGGGCTTCCGTCCTGTGAAACACAGCCACTGACCAGGATATCTCCAGGGTAATGTCAAAAATACAAGACTATGAACTAGTGAAGTACAAACCCCATTGCTCATTGCCCTCCCCTTTACTCACTCCGTTTCAGGAATGCACTCCTCTTAACCCATTGTGTACCCCAAAGCCTCTCCCTCATGCTGACTCTCCATGTGAAATTCCCTACAACTACTCTTCTGCTCTTCACCTGATGAATTCTGAGCTATCTACTGAGTCTCAGTTCTGTATTTCTGCAGAGAGTTCTTCTTTATCCCCAATCCAGTTTATATTATCTCTTTCACAGTGCCTAGTTCTTCTTCATTGTACTTGTCAAAGTGGAGAACCATACATTTATTGGTATATTTCTTTACAATTGTGTCTCTTATCAGATTATAAACTCCCCTGGGGAGCATTCTGTGGATTTCACGCTCCATTGCTTTCCTAGGACCTAGCACAAAACAAGATTTAATGTTAGCTGCTGAGTAAAATGAGTGTCGTATGAATGTAAGGTGTTATTATCCAGTTTCCCAAACTAAAAACATTGACCTCTTTGTTTATACATTGAAGAGTTCATTTAATCTGAGTCAATTTGAATTTAATCAATTCTGGGTGGCCAGATAACATCGAGTTTGAGTCCTACGGGTGGGGACAACTCGGTACTGTGACCATGGAAGGCTGCAGGCCTCTTTCTTTCCCATGTGTTTATTTGAGCACTCTGACATTGGGAAGGCAGGCTCTGCACCAGTTCCTAAGGTGACTTTTCTTCAAGTATCAGATTGTCACGGTGGAGAGGCGACAATTACGGAACAAGTAGAATAGGTGACAAGTGAACTTCCTGATATCCTTCCTTAGGCCAACTTGTCAGAAAGTTGTGCAGGAAGAAATGGGGCAAGCCACTTTCTTTCCACTCTGCTTCCACCTCTAGGACTATTTAGGCACCGCAGCATTCTAACTCAAACTAAAAACTACTCTCTTTTTTTTGCATTGGTCATAGTTTTATTTATTTTTATTTATTTTTATTTTATTACATATTTTTTACATCATCATTCTTCATTTTTTTTTTTACAATATATGCTTTTTCATCTTAATTATAGTGCCCATGAAATTCCCACCACCAATTCACCTGTGTTACATCACCATAGTCCCTTGTGCTCTTCCCACCCATTTTGATCCTACTCCCTTCTCCCTCCCTGCAGAATGTCTCTGTTTTATAGTTGCTTGTTGATTTTGATTAAAACTACTCTTCAGTATTATAGTTGAGCCTTGAGCAACACAGGTAAATGTTTTTTCTATCCGTGGATTCTTCATTTACAGATTCAACCAATCTTGGCTGTCAGCTGGTTGAATCTGCGGATGCCAAATGTACAGATAAAGACTGCTTTCATAAGGGAATTGAGCATCCTCAGACTCTCCTAAGGTGGGGATTGTGTGTGTGTGAAACCGATCCCTCTGAATAGGGAAGGGTAGACTGTAGTTAAGTTTTGAGGGAGTCATAAGTTATACTCAGATTTTTGACTGCCAGCGTCGATGGTTGGTGGGGGGTGTGGGAATGGAAAGTGTTAGTGGGTGCCTGAACCCCTGTATTATTCAAGGTCAACTGTGCTTTCTTTACCTGCTTCTTCCCCATCAATCCGTCATCCAAACTTGTCAGAACAAATCTTTGTTGAGAGAGTCTATGTCCCTTCTCTGTTATAAATTCTTCTATGTGACTCCATCACCTACATGGTAACCATCAAACTCTTAGCATGGAATAGATATTATCTCACCACCTGACTCTTAAGCATTCCTGCTTCATCTTTCTTCACTTTTCTTCTTGCATGCTCATTCCCACCTTCTCCAAAATCAGCTTATAAATCCCTAACCACATCACTTTTTTCTTGCCCCATGCCTGTGCATGCAAGTTCCTTCTCCAAGCTTTTCTGCCTGGTGAGTCCCATCAAATCAGTTCAGATGTCACCTTTCTGAGAAGTCTTTCCTGCTAATGCCTCCTCCCCTCCATCTGCCGCATCTTTCAGCTTCATCTCTGCACTCCTCCCTATCAGATTGTGAATGCTCCAAGAATGGGGATTGTGACTGGCTTATTGAACCTCCACACTTTGTACAGGGCCTCAAAGAAACCCAGGCTCAGAGGGAGGCTTTTCTTTGGAATGTCAAAAGTCCAAAACCAAATAACTGGGGCCAGCTTACAGAATTAGGAAGGGATAGTTAAATTTTTGGAACCATTCCAGCTTCTACTCCCCTTCCCCTCTCCTATGAGATGCCTCTATACCCACATAGAAATAGGTGATGGAGGGCCTCCCTTGGTGGCTCAGTGGTTGAGCGCTGGGTTGTGAGGCTGCCCGCAGCCTCTGCAGCGCCAGTTTGATCCCCGACCACCAGCGACGGTCCCACAAAAAAAAAAAAAAATAGGTGATGCGTTTTTCTAAATTCAACCAATGTATATCTTCTCTAACAATACAAGGATATGGGAAATATTATTTTAGTATAGTCCTTGTCTCTGTCAAGTAAATATTGGATACTAATATTTATTTTCAGTTAAATATTGGACCCCTGATATCTATTAACTTTACAAATGCAAAGCCCCCCTGCTATTACCAAAGAAGTAGTTGTTTTTAATAAAGTCACTTTTTATGCCTGCTTAATAATCACATATTATCCCCCCCCCCATGCCTACCTCCAAGTCCAGGCAGACCCATTTTATTTTTTTAATTTTTATTTTTTTAAAGATTTATTTATTTATTTATACAAGCACTGGGTACAGTCAGAGGCACCGGAGGGTGAAAGAATTCACCAGAGCCAGAGCAGAGAGTAGCAAGCAGAGTGACGAAGTACACTGCTGAGGGGAGCAGCGGGTGGCAGGAGAGGTCTGCTCGCCATGTGGGACCCTCCCCCAGCAGCCAGGGATGGAACCGGCGCTACAGAGACTGCGGGCAGCTTCGCAACCCAGTGCTCAACTGCTGCACCACCGGGGAGGCCCAGGCAGACCCATTTTATATGAGAAGATGTCCACTTGTGTTAGCACATGAGGGAAGAGACCCTCTGTGTGGCTCTAAGAACATATTTGCTAATAGTATATTTTAAGAATATCCATTGAGAACCATGCTTTAGAACTTGGGCACTGGCCAGCTTTGACTTTTCCGTAGGTCCTCATTCTGTCTGGATTTGGCACTAGAAACGGATGAGGTATATTCACTAGAAGAAATAAAGACCTGGGGTTATACTGGAAAAGGGTTTATGTTCCATTCTTCATTTAGTCATCTCACACTTCTTTTATACACATCTTCTAAATACTAGGCATTGCACTAGTAGTCAACAGATGAGTAGGATGGGGTTCTAGATAGGAGACACAGGTACCATAAAGATGTGCCAAAAATGCCATAGAAATTCAGTGGGGAATATACATTCCCCATATACACCTGATGATGGGGTTAGTATAGAAGGATTCACAGAAAAGGAGCTATTTATGCCAGGCCTTGAAGAATGGGTAGGATTCATTAGCTGAGCCAGAAGGAAAGGTATTCCTGGAAGAGGGATGAGCATAAGCAGAAGCATACAGGGGTGGAAAGATAAGTTTCTTATAAATGAGTATGTAGTGATCCAGTTTAAATGTTTTTGTTATTTTTTGAGAAATGAAAGTGCAACAAATGAAAATATGAAGAGTGTGTATACACACACACACACTTTTGTAAGCATTTTCGTTGAGTTCATAAACCTTTTACACCAATGGATAGAAAGGGTCATGAATCTCTGACTGAAATATATATATACATATATTTACATATATGTAAAATAAATGAAAAGGATTAATGACTTTGTTACCAGCTTCATCTTCTCCAACTAGTGTTTTCCCCTCCCATAACTCATTGAATACCTATAAGAAAATTAACCTTTGAGTGTCTACAAGTAATTAACTGATTTTTCTGTCTTCAAAGTTTACTTTACCACAATTACTTCTGCTACTCCTCTGGATTAGAAAGTTTAGGATTTCAGGGATTTATATTTGGAATATTAGTTGAAATGAATGTAAAATAGGCCTGAGTTTCAGGCTTTTTTTTTTTTAACCAATGGAGTCAAAAGCAAACTTGGGAGTGGTGTGGCTTTTCTGAGTTATACTGTTGTCTGGGCTTAGTCTACCTTTGCAGGTAATTAATTCCCCAGCCTGCTTATTTTTTTTCTAGTTGGCTCTTGTTTAGCTGCCACAGAGCCCCACCCCACAGTGCTTTATTGTCCCTTTGCTGACTATTCCTGCATATGGTCAAAATCAACTCACCTTCCGGGTTGCTGACATCAGCAAATTCCCTGTTTGGCAAACTGGGCTCTACTCCCAGTAACCCTTTGTTAAAGAAGCATTATTACAGTGGAGTGGATCAGATGGCTCACAAGTTTGTCCAATCTCTTCCACTCCTAGATATACTCCTAAGGAGAAACACTTTATGTCTTTGGATTTACAGCCACAGGCAGGATATTAGCACTCCCAGACCTGTTGGGTACTAGAGCACTGTTAATGAGCAAACAGCCCTGCCTCAATTAGTGGTTTGTGAAATATTCCTGGATATCAAATTGCTTTTGCTGCTTGATAATCACTCTAGCTCTTGGGATGAAAAACAACCAAGCAAAAATTGTTCCCCTGTTGACTACTGCCTTGTTGATCCCCTCAGTTATATATCTGTAGACAGAATTCAAGTTTGTTGTTTCCCCAGAGCTAAGATTTGATTTACACATGTAATCATTGGGTTGGTGCTCATGTTTTCTCTTGCAAATCTTTTCCATAGTATCTAGATTATCATCTTTTGAGATGGAGTTTATAAGAATTAATTAAACAAGACTGATTATTTTAGAAACAAATTAAGAAATAAACTATAGAAGGATCCCAAATGGTAAACTGTTATAATCTCTTAGTCATAGGTGTTTGTGTGTGTATGTGTGTGTGTGTGGAGGTAGAAAGAGAGAGACAGAGAGAGAGAGAGAGAGAGAGTGAGAGAGAGAGTTTCAATCATATTGCAACTTCTATGTTGACTCTTTCTAGTTCTTTACTTCTTAATTACCTTCCGGTGGTGTTAATGTTAACCCCAGCAACCGAAAGCTTCAGTATATCACTTGAGAAAAAAAAAAAAAGTAGTAAAGGGAAAGGAATTCAAGATCTGTTATTGGTATTTGAATGTTTATTTGTGTCAAGAATGCTGTTATAAATATTCATAAGCAAAGACCATCTCGTTTACCTAGTTATTATTAAAGTGAAGATTCCAAATGGGAAGTACACATCTTTTGTAAAAATCTGCCACTGTTTTCTGCTTTAAAAAAGCATCTATTGTTTCTACTAACAAAAATGGTCACAACATCTATAATCTGATATAATCTAAACTTTAAAGTGTATGACTTCCCGGTGGGCTGTTGCTCTCCACCCAAAAATTCACTGTCCTCTGTAAGCAACTATATAGATAGTTGGGGGAGGCAAGACTATAACTTGATGAGAATACCAGTTAAAGTTATTTCTAAAGTCCAGTAGAGAACAGCTTTTACTGTTGATAACAAGAAGCACTGAGAGTGACTTGAAGCCTTTCAAGTCCGCTTAGGTAGGTAATCTATAGATAATGCAGAAAAGAGGTGTGTGTGGGGGGGTTACTTTACCCAATATTTTATTGTATTTTCTTAAATATCCTTTCTGAAATTTTCAGAAACAAAACATAAAAAAATTATATACTTTATTACAAATGGTAAACTCAGAGTGCTTCCAAATCTCTTATTTACAAACAACACTGGGTAGGACACCCAAACAAACAAGCATGAAATAACTTACAAAGGCATGAAGCTGTTTATTGACAGTAATCAGCTTTCATCAAATTAAAAAATATATATATGTACATACACAGTTAAGGAAGGCAGGCCAGAAAGAGTTCGTTTGTAGGATCAGCCTTGTTCTCACAAACCTCCCTCCCACCTCCCCTCCCCCAGAGCCCCCCTTTTGTGTTCTTAAGGAGTACTACAGAAGCGATCTACAGTCTCTAGAGCAGTTTGTAACCCCTCCCCCTCCCCCTTTTAATACTGAACGAGATCGAATGTTAGGTCCATGCAGTTCTTGGTCAATGTTAAAGAAAAGTCTAACGTTCTGTTTCTCGCGGGGACAGCCCGTCCGCAAAGCGGGGCAACCCGCAGGCAGCCACTCCTTGGCTCCATGCCAAGGAAGGGCGCGCCAAGTCCTTCCCACTCGTGCACACTGGGGGCGCCGTCAGGACGCAACCCAGTCCAACTTGGATACCCTTGGCTTTAGTCCTCTACTTCTTTTTTTCTCTCTGTCTCTTGCAACTTGTCAAGTTCTCAAGTCAGTCTCTCTGTGTTATTTTTTTCTCCTTTGCCCCTCAGCCCCCAGAGTCTCTCCTCAAAACGTTTGCAACTGCTGCGTTAGCATGAGTTGGCACCCACTGTTAACGTGGTTCATGACTTTCTGTTTAAGCTGTGCCACCTGTTCCCTGAGCATGTTAGCCGTGGACGCCAGCTCCGAGTTCTGAGCTTTCAAGGTTTTCACTTTCTCCTCCAGCCGGGCGATCCTCTCCAGCTTTCTTTTCCGGCACTTGGAGGCGGCGATGCGGTTCCTCATGCGCTTCCTCTCGGCCTTGATCCGCTCTTGGGACTCCATGTCGATGGGGGACAGGGGCGGCGTCTCCCCAGGCATCTCGGGCACCGTCTGCGGCTCCTCCTTCAGGGCCTGCAGCCGCGGGTGCTGCACCGGGATCTGCTGCGGCAGGTGGTGAGCCTGCGGCGGCTGCTGCTGCTGCTGGGGCTGAGCTGAGAAGGCCAGGCCGGTGGCGCCGTAGGAGGGCGCCCCGCCACCGCTGCTCAGAGCGCCGGGGTTGAAGTTGCTGAGGTTGGCGTAGACCGGCGGCTCGCTGTGCAGGCTGGCGCTGAAGCCGCCGCTCCCGCTGCCGCCCGCCACCGAAGCCACCGCGGGAGCCACCATGCCCGCCCCGCTGACCGGCTGCGCCGCGGACGTGACGCTGGGGAGCGTGTTCTGGCTGTGCAGCTCGGCCAGGGCGCGCACGAAGCCCTCCGCGAAGCCCTCCTGCTCGTCCGTCACGTTCTTGGGGCACAGGAACTGAGTGGGGGTCGGCGTGGTGGTGATGTGCCCGTTGCTGGACTGGATGATCAGGCGCTCCAGCTCCGGCGACGCCAACTTGAGCAGCCCCACGTCGGGCGAGGTAAGGAGGTCGGAGTTCTTGGCCCGGAGGTGCGGCTTCAGGCTGCCCACCGGGTCCGCCAGGTTCAGGGTCATGCTCTGCTTCAGGATCTTGGGGTTACTGTAGCCGTACGCGCCGCTCTCGGACTGGAGGAACGAGGCGTTGAGGGCATCGTCGTAGAAGGTCGTTTCCATCTTTGCAGTCATAGAACAGTCCGGCTCTCCGCGTGCGGTTAGTTTGGGCGGCGCGCACAAGTTTCGGGGCCGCAACAGCGCGCAGGCCAGCCGGGGACACTCGCGCCTCCCCGGGCTCTGGGCGAGGAAAGTTTGTCTAGGAGCGCGCGCGCTCGCCGGCTGTCCTGGCCGCTGCGCCCCGCTCGCCCGCGCGCTCCAGGAAACGCAGGGTTAAGGGGACGCCGCCTGCAACGGACTCGCCGGCTCGCGCGCGCAGCCCGGCTTTGAAAAGTCGCGGTCACTCACTGGGCGTCCTCCGGCGCAGCGCTCCCCGGCGGGCGACGGCGGCTCTCTCGGCGCGGCCCCGCCACTGGCCAGCCGGCGGCCGATCTCCGCCGCCCGGGCGCGGACGGCTGCTCCCTCCTCCGCTGCGAGCGGGAGGGCGCGCGGCCGCGCAAGTTCAGCAGCCCGCGCGAGCCGAGCGGAGCGAGCGCGCGTCCCTCGCCTCGCCTCGCCTCGCCTCGCCTCTCGCCGCCGCCCGCGCTGCTCGGCGCCGCGGCCGCTTCGGGAGGCAGCGCTGCAAAAGTTCGTCTCGGGACCCGCGACCGCTTGTCCCCAGTCCTCCGGGCCGGGAAAGTTCTCTGTCGCTGCAGCCGCTCGCCGGACTTCCCCGGGCGGACGGGCGCCGCGCGCCGCGCTGTCAGCAGCGCCCGGGCGGCGGGGTTCTCCCCCTGGGGGCGGCGGGCGAAGGGGTGCTCCGGGCGCTCCCCAGAACACCAGCCCGGGAGCCACCGGCGCTAGCTCTGGGCCGTTGGTGAGAAGATGGCCAAGAAAATAAGATGTGCGGCTGGGACTCTGCTGCCGTCTCCCCTGGCTGCGCCGTCTCTCTGAGTCCGCGCACCTCCACTCCCGCCTCGCCGCCTCAGCCACACTCAGTGCAACTCTGAGCCCTTATCCAGCCAGAGCTCAACACTTATCTGCTACCAGTCAACCCCTAAAAATAGCCCATGATGTCACCCCAAGGCCTTTCCATTGGCTCGCGTCGCTCTCAGGGGGGCGGGCCCGCCCGTCGCCATGGAGACCCACCCTAGAAGATTCTTCACCGGACCCGCGGAGGCTCACGGGATGAGGTAATGCTCCGCTGCCCTCCTACAGTTGGGCCCTTCTTTCTCCGCCACCCCCCGCCCCCTCCCGCGCGACTCGCGCCCCGCTCTTCCCTCCTCCCGGCCCCGACGCGTCTTTCCCGGCCCGCCTGGTGCATTGTGGGCTGACGTCTTGGGGTTTGACCGTCTAGTGACGGTGGCTGCCGCGAGTCGTGCGGACACGGGCGCTCGCAGCCTCTGACAGACCCGGGCTGAAGTTCAGGACCGGGTCGAGAAGGCGGGGGGTTCGGGGATCCGGAAGGCCGGGGAGCTGGGCCGGGGGTCCGGGGCTGAGGGCGCGGGGCGGGCGGTATTTCCCCACTTGAGGGGTTCGGAGTCACGCACGGGCACTTGGCCTCCGCGCGCGGGGCGGCGAAGCCGCGCGCCGGGTCGGTGCCCCCCCCGCACTTCCGGGGGGCGGGAGCGCCTCCCTTAAGGTGGCTCAGTGAAGTCCCCGAAGGGGGCGAGCGAGCGTGGGCTTCGGTGTCGGGGCGGGCTGGCTGAGGTGGCCCCCCACGTTGACGACGCTCCGAAGTTTGTCTCCTGGTCAAGTTCAGGAGCGACCTTCCGCGCCTCGGGCTGCGCCTGGAAGCCGAGGGATTTGCATTTTTCGAAACTGGGCGCTCAGCTGTCGCCGCTGCACCCCCTCTTCACCCTCCTGACCACGGGAGAGAGGGTGCGGGGGTTCACAGCTCTGCCCCGGTGGGGAGGCTTTTTGTCGGGGCTGGAACTAGGGGGGCAGCTCGGCGTCCTGTTGGAAACGGGTGTTTAGGGAACCCGAAACTCAGGGAAGCCGTGTGGTTGTGTATACTCTCCGCCTCCGCGCGCACGCACACCCTCACCTCCCTCCTTCTCTCTCTCTCTCTCTCTCTCTCTCTCTCTCTCTCTCTCTCTCTCTCTCTCTCTCTCTCTCACACACACACACACACACACGCACACCCCTTTATCTCTCGGATCTGCTTCTCGGAAAACCAGTCGCGAGAGCTGCAGACACTCGCCAAAAGTCCCAAGGCGACTCCTGGGTACAACTAGGATTTCAAATCTCGGCTCCGGCGGGGTGGTGGGCCCATATCCTGTGTAGCCTCTAGGAAGCGCTAGACACATGTAAGTGATTGCTTTTCTGTGGTTATGTTATCCTGTCCCATCCCCCAGCCCTTAGGGGCAGAAGTGTATGCTGGAAAAAATACCCAAGTCGGGAATCGTAGGTTCTTTCGTGGTCAGCGCTGCTAGGGCGAGAACTGAGCAAAACACCGAACTTTCCTGAGCCTCGGTTACTTGCGCGAGCCACCCCACTCGAGTGAGTTAGTGCAGCGTGGTTCCCCCAGGGGTAGGAGACAGTCGCCAAACAGCCCCCTTTCTTGCCCTTCCTAGGCATTTCCAGAGCTTCCAAGGAATGCCAGGATATAAGAGAGAGATTTGGCAGGGCCAGGTCTGCTGATTCCTGGGAGTGATGGCAGGACAGGGTGAGAAGTCAGCTCTTCCCCAGGGCGTTCTCCGGAGCACCGGCTCTCCAAGTGGGACAGGCAGCAGCAGTTTACTGTTTCTAGGTTCTGATTCTGGCCTTTTAGCTTCTCACCGTGGGTTCTTATCCCGGAGACTTAAGATATTTGTGACTTTGAAGAGTTTGGAATCAACAATGCAACAGCTGCTGGCGCCAGGGAAATCCTGATAACTTTTCTTCACTCCAGGGTTTCAGCTCTCATTCCCTCAACAGAGAAAACTGGCTGCTGTGAGCCTGACACTGAGCTGGAGTGGGGTTGGGGTAAGGGCTACAGTAAGCGACAAGATTCTGTAACTTCACCCATGGAGGGGACAGTCTCCTCTGGAGAATCATTTGCCTGATTTGAATCATTTTATTTTGTAATCAGGGAACTGCTGTACTCAAATTTTTAAAATAACAGAAATAAAAATAAATTTCATGTGCCAAGCACCTACTATCAGGCAGACATTCATCTAAGCAATTTAAATATGCTGTTTCTCCCCACAACCATCTTGAGATGTGCATATTTGGCTTTCACATATAAGGGCAGAAGCTCCAAGAGCTCGGTACCTCCTCAGGTCACAGACAGCTGGAAACTGACCTCAGGTCTGTATTATATTCCCAATTCTATCTTCTCAGCTCTGGGAGACTTTCCTGTAAAGTATTAGTTGTCTGCAGAGGAAGTGGTGCTTAGATGGTGAGATAGACGAAATCATCTTCCTGATCCTTTGTAACTCCTTTCAGAGCTCCTGTGCTTAGAAACTTAGGACTTTGTATATATATCTTTTTGTCTAAGATTTCTGAGTGTTCCTCTCTGCCTTATGTGATTTAGTAGCTTAGGGTTGATTTTCTCCTTATGTTGCAAAAGCATATTTTGTCCACAAAATGATAGATCTGTTCATGTTAACACCCCTGCTTGGAGCCCTCATTGGCTTCCCCTGAAGACCAGGAGTGTTTAGCTGCCTTTGCCTAAGAGAAGGGGCTTTTCCTTTTTGGCTCCCGGTCTCCAGCATCACCTCTCACTCCCAGTATCAGTCAGGATAACCTTGGCTATGCTGCCCTAACAAAACAGCCCTAACAACTCAGTGGTTTACCCAGGGGAGTTTATTTCTCCCTCATGCTAAAGCCCACTGTGGGTCTGCACAAAAGCTTTGCTCACTGTGAACACTCAGTGACTTGGGTGGTTGAAAGCTTCATCTTGACACATGATTCTCATTAGCTTGTCTGGGGCCAGAAAAGAGGGTAGATCATTCACAGAGCATTCACCTGGAAAGTGACACACAGCACTTCTGCTCACATGTCAGTGGCCAAAGCAAGTCACACGCCATGCCTGATTTTAAATTTCTAATCCTGTGTCTTGAAGAGAGATACTAATGTTCACTAAATATTTGACTTCACTGCCACAAGCAGAATTCCCTCATTCTTTCCTCTTCAGAGAGGAAAGACACACTTAATCGCAGTAACAAGCTCATTTTCCAGATTCTGGGTGATGTAGAATAGACCCTCTTCATCAGCTGCCTATGTACCTCTGTTTTGAAAGGCAAGGTATTTACCCCGCACATCCTCATGTAGCAATGGGGCAGAGACAGTGGACTCTGGAAAGCAAAAGAATGAGAGACCGCAGTAGACCCTAGTCCGCTTCTGCTCCCTGAGTGTAGCTGCTCTTTTCGTTGTTTTCCATGAGCCTTGGTTGAGGTGTCTTTTCTACATCTAAATCAGGCTTTAGGGAAATATGTTTTTAAATAAGCTTTGGAGTACAGAGTGATAATAAGTTTTAAATATGGACTCCTTTAAGCCAGGGTGATGTTGTTTTGGCAGGACAACTCTCACAAAAAATGCAGGCTTCTTATCTATTTCATTTCAGGCATATTATGTGCCAGTAGCCATAGCCAGGGTTTTTCTAGATATATGGTTTGCCATATTTCTTTGCTTTCTTGCTGTTATGCCTGTTGATCTTTCTCATTCTTTCTCCTGACTTGCTTTTTTTGCTTTTTTTTTCCATTTTTTAATTTTATATATTTTATATCGTTTTTCATTTTTGCACAATGCATGCATTTTCATCTTGGTTATAGTCCCCGTACAATTCCCACCCCCACCTTGTTTTGATCCTCCCCCCTCCTCCCCCCCTCTCTAGTGTGTTTTTGGTTTATAATTGCTTGTTGATTTTGATTTTTACTTTATTATAATTAGTCTTTTTGAGTGCTTTGTCCTTTTTGGAATTTAGTGGGAGAGTCACACTTCCAGGACCATTTTGTCCAACCGAAAGCACATTCTGGGTAATAATTTATCCACAGGTTTGTACAGTAGGTTTGAGGCTTTTCCCTTTATGTGATCCATATTTCAAAGCTGATTTTAATTGTTTTTTTCTTGCTGCGAACAATTCTTAATTTTATATTTTACTAGTCGAGATTGAGAACTGCCTCTTCTAACACTACCGATCTCTACATTTATAGATCCTCTCTGCTGTCTTTCATTCCTTCTTGCAATCTGGCCAAATCTTTTCTGAGCTCATCTGTATTTTGTAGTAAGTTTCCGAATGCAGCCAATAACCATGAACACATGCTAGTAAGATGTAGCTTTATAATTTCTTGCTTTAGTTCACTGCATTCATGATATACCTCCTAAATGATCACAGGAGAATATTTAATAAAGTCACTATTCATTTGGCTTCTGATGAGTGTGCCCCTCTTGATGAATGTTCATTTTTTATAACATTACCCTATATCTAAGTGCAATTTTTTTAGTCATGATACTCTAGGTTTTCTTCCATAACAAATAACTCTAGTCAGTGGCTTACCAAAAAGCCTTTATCCCTTCCTCCCACTACATATACAGTCTCAGAAGTCTTCAGCTCCATGTGCTTACTCAGAGACCAAGTCTGGAGAGGGTTTCATCTTGATGCATATCCTTGATGGGAAGGAAAGAAAGGTGAATTCTCTTTGGCTTTACATGCTTCCTCTCAGAAATAATGCATTACTTGCATTCACATATTATTGGCCCAAAACTAGTGACCTAACCATGTTTGACTGAAAGGGTGCAATAAAGTGCAATCCTATTAATGTTCCTGGAGTCAGAGAGCTAGAAGTGCATACCTCTGTGTAGGGTAGCAATCCAAAAATATTTCTGACTTACAACTACAGTTATTTCTCACTTATACTGCATGTCCTTCAGGACTGGGTGTCTGTTCATGCACATCTTTTCACACAGTTCTAGGACCCTTCCTGAAGCTTTGCTGATTGTCATGGTAGACAGAAAAGAACAGGATGATTAAAGCTTCTGCAGAGAGCACTTCACATGGCCAAGCCTGATGTCAGTGGGGAGGGACAGCAAGTGTTTGTGAATCGTAATACAGTCTACCACACCCTGCACTGCACATTCCCTCCATTTTTTCTGAGGCTCAGCCATCCCAAACATTTTCCGTTCCTCTGACATCTTCTTGTCTTTCCATTTCCTTTTTATCCAAGAATGCCTCTTAGCAAACTCCTATTCATCCTTCAAGACCCCGCTC